TCCGACAATATGTAACGTGCCGATTAACAAAATTCGCCGTTTATGAAACCAGAAAATACTCGAAAAATTGTAAAATACAACAGAAAATGAGAGAAAAAGTGAACAACAACAATGAACGACACTCAAAAACTATTTAGACCTTCTTCTTCTTCTTCCTCCACGAAGTGACATCTTCTTCATCTTTTTGTTGTTCCACGACCGGTAGCACGACTTCCATTGGTTCACTGGAGCCTAGAATCTCTGTTTTGACCTCTTCTTCTTCAGAATCACAGATTCCATCAAGAAGATCATCAACCATTTCTTTTTCTTTCTAGAAATGAAACATTTCAAAGTGAAACCTTTGTGAATCAGACAGACCTTTCTTTTAGATACCCCTGAGCTTTGCGGGTCACTAACAGCCACTCCGCCAACACTATTCTGAATAATGCTGAGCTGCTCAGCAATCAGTGCATCCTCATCAACTTCCTCTTGTTTCACTGATCCTACGCTCAATGGATTCTCATTGACAATAACACTTGGTTGGTATAGCATTTTTTCTTCTGGTTCTCTTCCGTGTTGAATTCGTGGAGCATTGATTTGACGTGCTGCGGCTGTTCCCGAAGTGAGAATAAGAGATGGTGTGGTGATAGAAAAACCATCGGGGCGTTTGAATGCACTTCTGAATTGAAGTAACGTAGCTATAGATGAGATGAGAAGTAGAATACCTCTCTCGTTGATCCTGTTTGATAACATCACTCACGACAGCAGTCAGAGCTTCGGCTCGAGACATTGCCAGTTTCACACATCGCTCTATCTTCAATTATTTCTTCAAAATCGTTATCTAGAGCTCAAAACTACCTGTTTCGTTGACAAAACAAGATTGGTGCTTTGATGAAGGGCACACACTTCGCGACGTTTGTTGCAAGCGACGACGATGGAACCATCAAGACAGGCTGCTTCCTTTTCTGTTGGATCAATAACCACCATTTGTCTAGAATAATTAAACGATAAAACAGAAATGTTGGAAACGCGTTTACCCTTTATCCAATAATCCGATCGTTGTGCAAATGGGCATATGGTAGATATTCAATGGAACTGGCGCTTTCTCGTATTCAGAATACTAAATAGAGATTACAATAGTTTAAATAATAAAATAGATTCTTACGATGAGGGTATGGTGAGGTTCCAAAGTAACATTAGGTCTTTTGAAATGCTGCAGAGCCGTGATAGCAGCCAGACAAGCACAGTCGAGCAGACTACCGTCTTCGTCCAGAATGCGAACGTCGACACGAACTTTCCAGATTTCCTTTCCGGCACGAATGCAAAGTGACTTTAAAATTAGATTTGATGAGGTAGAAGAGTTTTTCGAATTCTTACCTCAACGTCAATGCATCTTGAATCTCTGATGATGAGCTCGAGCAACCGGATCAATTCCATTCCTTTACTTCCCAGACGATCATGCTCGTTGGCTTAAAAACAAGACAATAATCTATTTCAGATATTTTCAGACTTACAAACGTTCGCCATAGGGCTCAAATCAACGTCAATGATGATGACTCCTTTATGCGGACGCATTGAAGATGGCTCCGCAATTTGAGCGCTAACTGCGGCTATTACTCTGAAATCTCCAATGTAAATAAAGGATAGTCAATTTCTCACTTTGTATTTCCAATTGTGCATATAGCAGTACCAATTTCTGATCCGACAACTAGTTTTACACCACGGAATTCTTCTAAACCTCGAAAATCGAATCGCTGAAAGATTATTGGTGTTTTGAGCAGATTTAACTTATCACCTCACTTTTCCACTTTTCAATGCTTCTAAAATGACTTCTTTTTCACAGGTAGTTAACGGTGGAACCCTCATTATGTCTGCAAATTGAAAGAAATGATCGACTAATGCTTCACCTCAGCTGGCGTACAACAAGAAACGGAAATGTATATTTTTTCAACGCTGACAACGTTAAGGTCCAAACCTGAACAAGTAACAAAGAAGCAAAAGTATTTATTGTAGACACGAATTATGTGAAAATGTGGAAACTTGGAAATAAGAAAACAATCGGGGAATATAGAAAGCAATAGGAAGAGGTCTTGTCGAGATTTTAAGTCGAATTTAACTTTGTTGGGTGTTCATGTTGGCAAGCTGTGCTTGGACTTTCGTCTGGAAGGCGTCTGAAATGTAAGCGCGGGTTCTTCTCTTCTCTTTCAGGATTCCTTCAACGGTCTCAACCTGCAACGTGTTTGGTTTAGAGAGATGGGATTTAAAGCACACTAACCTGCTTCGCAATATGCTCCTTTTTTCTATCAAAAATTCCCTTGGCCTTCTCGCGATCCAATTCCACAAAATAACCAGTTCCAATTTCAACCATGTGCTTGTTTGGGTCAGATAGTTCAGCGCGGATGTACAGCTGAAAGACTAAAGGGATAATATCAACAGTTCCTCAGAAAACCAACCGATTCGGAGAGTGGAATGAGAGCTGTGTGGCCTGCTGTGCCAACCTTCACATCTTCCAATGCTGAAATGCTCTTTTCGTTTCGTGACAGAAGTGCCTGAATAAAATTTAGTTAGATCATTGTGAATAATTTTTAGTAATCGATGTAACGCTTTACGTTACCTTCAAAGCATTGAAAGAGTCTTGGAAGAAAGTTAATTCCTGTTCGCAGTTCTTTTGGAGCTCCCCGAGTTGTTGCAAGCTGAGCTCTGACAGCGGTACGCCTCTTTGCTCCTCTGTCATTCTGAAAAAGAATTTCTCAACAAATTTAGTAGATTTATTAAGTGAAAAATTTGAGAAACAGCGAAAAATAAGTGAAATAAGCGAAATAAGAGAAAAAATGTAAAATTCTCGAAATTTGAAAATGGCAGAGAAATTTCTCGGCCACGGCCCCCACAACAATTCGCGGCTATTTGAAATATAATTTTGCTTGTTGAACTGTGTCAGAGTCAGATGATCGTCTAAATAGAACCAGATGATCACACAGAGAAATGGGTTTCGCATTGAAATAAGCTGTAATTTTAAAAAAAAAATTATTTGAAAAATTAGTGCTGAAATGTCAACATAAAATATCTTTCTGCATTCTCCCGATTCATTCTTCAGTCTTCTTGCTGGTTATTTTTATGTGGTTCTTTTAGGCAGAAAGAAAAGTACAGTTTAATATAATGTCGCTGTCGACTGTTATTTAAAGATCACTCTGTCTCGCTGAAGACCTCGAAAAATTTATAGTTTCAATGTCGTTACGTCTTTCTTTGTAATTTTATCTTCTCCGTCTCAAAGAGTATTCCCCCACAAATGTCTGTCGTTTAGTTGAATCGTTAAAACTGTATCTCGTAAAATTATAGTTTTGTTTGTGAACGATGAAAACAATTAGATCAGTTCAGAAATCAAACAACATGCAGAAAAAAGTGGTGAGAAGTTCGTGATAGTCTTTGAAAGATTGACTGATTCATCGGTTCGGAATATTGAATGACGTTGGATGTTTTATGTTTCGTTGAATTTTAAAGTTTTTCAGTGTTTGAAGATTTCACAATCAACGTTCATTTCATCAAGTTCATTAGGTTGGTTGAAGATTTTGAGATGTTCCAAGAAGAAGAATTAAAATGTCGATTCTGGAGGATAGATTACAGAAGTTCTGGGTTCAATGTTTAATGATGTTATCCGATAAATTATCCCAAGTCATGATAGTTGTTTTAATGTTACAACTTGTTTACTTCAAAAAAATTTCCCAAAGTATACAGAGAATTTTTTGAAAGCATCACACTGTAGCCATATTTTCGTATTTCAGCAAAACAAAAACCTTTTTGGAAATTTAGACAAACATTCGATTTGGTGAACATTTGTTATTACAGTATTAATAATCATAAAACATTTGCTCTGTTCTCTTATTTTTTACAGTAACCTTCTGAAATCAGTTTGTGAACCCCTGTGAGATCTCTTGATCATAAAGTTTGCTTCCTTTTCCGTTATCACGTTTTGTATGTTTATCAGTGTCTAATATGATCCTCATCCGAATCTTCTCGAAGATGTTTTCGAGACCCTCTTGATATCTTATTTTTATTTCTTCTCATTTCTGTTCTTTCATCTAAAGAAAACACAAAAGAAAAGAAGATACATTTAAAAGTCAACCAAGTCTTCTTTTTCATCTTTAAAGATTATCTTCTTCTTGTCTCCGCAATTAACACCCGAATGATCATTAGTTCCTATTTTTGGATACTTATCAATCATTTATCAGTCTCTCAGTCCTAAAGATAGGATCGGCGAAAATGACGTTGATAAGACACTTTAAAAGAAGAAGGTATTCTCTAAAGATCATTAGCTCCGCCTACTCTGTTGTTTGTTCAAATGAAGGCCAAAGATACCAGGTTTTCACATGATATATAGATATAGGAATCCACGTGAAACACTTCACAACACCTTCATTTTCTTCTTGTGACGTCATCCGAGTTTTTCTGATGTTTGAGTGACCTTTACAGTTTTAGTGATTTTGACATTGATTTTGTGTTGTACTTTATGACTTTTCATTGAACATTTATCAGTTTTCAAGACAGAAGCTAATGGACCTGGTGATACAATTTCTAATCTTTGGTGATTGACACCTCTTCAATCATCACACTTGTTATATCTATTATGATAACCCAAACAATAATTTTTTGTTTTTCAACTTGGAACAGGTCTCCAAAGGATATATTTTTTCTACAGTAGTCGTGATCAAGGACACCCCGTGTTTTAAGGAAACAATACCCAAAAGCCTTTGGCTTGGAAGTGTCTTTGCAAACTGACCTAAATGATTCAGATTAATATGACAATGAGGAGTGTGACACCGGGGGTTACTGTACCTATTCAGTGACCTATCGAACAAAAGGGTAAAATATCAATCTTTGTGAAAGAAGTGAACTTTGATTGATGATAACTTTTTTTGAAAACTTTGATGAGATGCAGGATCTGGTTCTCAGCTGACTGATAATATTGATAAGAAGTTAGATAAAAGTCAGGTATTTGGAACAGATGAGATACAGAAGACATAGCCTGTCTGGATTATTTGAAACCTTTTTTTCTTGAAAAATACATCAACTTTCACTAGTAAGCTTTAGATAATCTTACTTTGCATAGAATTATGGAAGATATACCGTTAAAAACTACGCTGTTCAAGCTGAAGTTGTTTACTGAAGCAGAACGTCACTATGCAAATTTCAGCTGCCGGAAACTTTTGAACGTTTTAGTTGGGTATAGAATACCGGTACCTTTATTTTCAATGTTCAATTTTTATAGTTTTTCTCCAGAAATCTAACGAATTGAGCAATATTCAGTTTCCGGAAAAAATAGAAGGGCCCTAATTTGAGCCAATTTTTCTCAATTCTTGTAAAAGATATCAAAAAGTGGTCAACTGATAAATTGTTTATCATAATACCGAAAATATTTGGTTAGTTGACTACTTTTTGACATCTTACACGGAAACCAAAATAAGTGAGCTCAAACTTGACAGTCTGGGGGCCCTTCTACGGAATATTGGTAAGAAGGATCCATAGGCCGTTTGTATTTGTTACGCCTAATCTTATAATATTTTCCTGTTTTTTATAATTCAGAATCGTTTTTTCAATGATTCTATTTTTTTCTGATGTTCATTGCAAAAAAAAAATGAAAATCACCTCTAGCTTGTAACTAAGATTTAATTTATCTTGGTTCCTGTGAAAGATATGAAAAAGTTGTCAACTGTCAAATTGTTTATCATAATATCAAAAATATTTTGTCAGTTGACCACTTTTAGATATCTTTCACAAGAACCAAGATAAAATTGGCTCAAAGTTAAAAGTTAGGGAGCTCTTCTATTAGAGGAAATCTCTTCTCCTTTCCGAAGTTGGTTGCACTAGACACTTCTTCTTATAACTTTCTCTCCCTAAACCAACTCATAAATCAGGTCATCAGACAGATTGATCTGTTTAATTACCACCGGTCCATTCGTCAAATAAATTTCCTAAAATTTTTGCATCATCTGAATACCATACCGTTCCAATTTCTCTTCTGCTTTTCTAAAGTTTGTTTTATTTTCCCCCTTTCAAAAACATTTACAGATAGATACATTATACCAGTTACATGCCCTTCGACGGCTTCTCCTTCTTCACATCTTTCCCTTTCTCTTTCTCATTCAGGTCAAGTCTTTCCTCCTCTTCCTCCTCCTCATCATTTCGAATTGTCATCTTTATAGTATTTTCCCTACTTTTTCTTTTTCATTCACGTCTTCTTCTGTATCTATCCTCTACAAAAGTGGGTGGAAAAAGTTAGAGAGAATCTAAGAAGAAGAGGTATGAGAGATAAAGAAGACACAAGTCTCCTCCTTCTTCATTTTCTCTTTACATAGCCATTGCATATACCATTCGGACATCAAGTGTCTCTCTCTCTCTCTCTTTTATTCATCCTCTTCTCTCTACTTTTTAGCTTATATCTCATTTTTGGTGTTTCAGGTTGTTAGCTAGTACTTAATTAAGTAACACTCTAAACAAATAAATAATCCACTAGTGGAAAGTTTCTTGAACGCAAGATTTAGGCCCAGAGCATTCCAACTATGAATGGAACATCCCTGATAATTCGGAGGTTTAAAAAACCTATCAACAAGTTATGCATACAAGACTACTCCTAATTTTTAACGGCCTATTTTACTGTTACTTCTAAAATCCATATGTCAATTCGGAAAAAAGTCAAGTCGGAAAATCCATATGTCAATTAATTTTTCCCAGCTAACATATAATTATAATGTCACCTGTAGGGGTACTTGACTTTTTTTCGGAATGTACAACGCGTCAATTATGTCACAACCTTGAGTTTTCAAATCTTTGCCTTCATGTTCTACAGTATTCCATAGAATGACTCTTCAGGGTGGCGCAAAATTAGCCAGGACTAAAGAAAGTAGCATAAAATTTGATTAAAGCGTTGTACTGGGCTCAAATTTGGAGTACGGTAATTCAGATAATTCATCGGTAAACTGGCCAAGTTTCAAACTATTTGATCAATTTTGAGTTGAGTTATGGCTTGTCAAAGTTACTTGATCTCGTGAAAATCGAGAGACAACACCCGTGCAGCTTTGAACAATCACAACAATAACGAGACTTGAGGAATCCCACTGAAAATTTTAGTAGTTTTGAATCAAATGTGAAATTATATTTCTACCAATTTTCGTGATTACAAGATACTGATATCTGAAGATGTACCCGTATTTATCAGTGCTGATAGATGTGCGCCACTCTGCATTTCATCCTTTTTCGAAAAGTTGGGAGATCTTTTTATTTTCCTAATTCACGATTTCAGGAATTTATTTTTTTCCAGTAACATCCTTGCTTCTAAATTGTGAACAAATTAGGGAACCTAGGGCTTTGAAGGTCCGATTTTTCAAATGACTGACAAATTCTTAATTATTTGCTTTCAGATCGATGCTCTTTTCTTTAGCCGAATACTATTAATTCTGTAAACCCCCTTTCCATAGTTCTTGTTTCAGTATGCGCACACCAATTATATTATTCGGGTTACTGTCATTATGCATTGCAAATTCGCTTCGAAACCTTTCATATCAGGACGAAGAAGGACCGCCATCCACAGCACCAGGAGTAAGAAAACGACGGATGATGTCTGAGGAAGATCAAAAAGTCGTCGATTATTACATGGATAAACTGAATAAACTGGCAGACGAGAAGCATCCCGAGGTACGAACCGATTCCTCTTTTTTTTTTGTTTCTCCAAAATCTTAATTTTCTGATGTAGTTGAAGGAAAAAGGTGGCCATGATCCTCTCTTGTTTCTTGCCTCGACACGGTTTCAATCCGTCTCTTTTTCTCGATTTCTCTCTTTTTGTTTCTTCGTTTTCTATGTACTGATCGCGAATGATTCTCTAACCGCATTCAAACAGGTTTCTTTCCACTTCATCTTTTCCTTATTCATTTTGATTCTCGAGACACATTTGGGGCCAATGATAAATGTATGTGTTAGGAGAGAAAAGGGAAGAAGAAGGACGTCGATTCTTCGTTAGGGTTGCTGCTACTGATGAAAAAAAGGCAAAATGACTGATCCACTGGTCAACACAAGACTTTCTTCCCTGACATAAATCAATATGGATTACTGTAGAATGATTTTAAAAATTTTTTGGATAAACTGGAGAGACTTGAAATCGAAGACATAAAAATTCTAACGAAAATATTTTTCAGGAACTTCAACAAAGAATCGAATCTCCAGAACTGAAATCATGGAATCGTATGCGTGACAGCGTTTTCAATCCAGAAGAACAAGGGAAATTCTTCCAGGGAGACATCGTTCTGTTTCCAGAACAAGCAAAATCTTTGTATGAGCAAGCACTCGTAGAAGGTATTCTTTATTCTTAAAAGTTTAGATTGGAATATGATTTCAGGAAAATCTAGAGTCAAAAGAAAGTTTATTGGATCAAATCTGAGACGTTGGGATGCAAGTCGTCCAATTGTTTACGCGTTTGATGGAAGTCACAGTGAGTGTTTACCGTAAACACTCCAATAGAAGTCCACCAAAACTTTTGGCCCATATATCTCGATTCCCGTAAAAGATACAAAAAATTGGTTGACTGACAAAATGTTTATCATAATTTCAGAAACATTCTGACAATTGATCATTTTTTGCTTTTTTTACAGAACTATGGGCTCAAAGTTGATGATTTAGTTTCACTCTATTAAATCTATTTTCACTCTATTAAAGAGATTTTTCCGCTTTCTCTGTAGTTCTGTGATGTATAATATCGTTTTATTTTAGCCCAACGTGAGCAAAGAATTATTGAGCTAGCACTGGAACACTGGCACAACATCACCTGCTTGAACTTTGAGAGAAACGATCAAGCGAATTCTGGAAATCGAATCGTTTTCACTGACGTTGATGGGTGCGCTTCTAACGTTGGAAGACATCCACTCGGAGAGGAACAGCTTGTTTCATTGGCACCAGAATGTATCCGTTTGGGAGTTATTGCTCATGAAGTGGCACATGCTCTTGGATTCTGGCATGAGCAATCAAGACCGGATAGAGATCAATATGTGACTGTTCGATGGGAAAACATTGACAAAGATTCAAAGGGACAGTTCTTGAAAGAGGATCCAGATGATGTTGATAACGCTGGAGTTCCATATGATTATGGAAGTATCATGCATTATCGTTCAAAGGCATTCTCAAAATTTGATGATTTGTACACTATCAGCACTTTTGTAACGGACTATCAAAAAACAATTGGTGAGTGGAGAAACACAGAAAATACAAAGAAACATAAACCGTAAACACTTTGATAGAAAGGCGCCTATACTTGTACTTTGAGCTCAATTATCTCGATTCCAGTGAAAGATACTGAAAATTTGTCAACTAATAAAATATTGCCGATGTTATGATAAAACGTTTATCAGTTGATAACTTCTTGATATCTTTCACAGAAATCGAGACAATTGAGCTAAATGTTGACAGTTTCGGTGGTCTCCTAATAGAGGAAATACAGTAATTGGAAGAAAGTTCTAGAATATCATATGAACCACTTTAAAACTCTCAAAATTGGGTCTGAACGTTTTTTAAATGGTAATTGACGATCTTCTATTTAAATTCATCCCAACCGATAAGCCCCCTTTTGAACTAGAATTGTCAAAAAAGTCATAAACTGAATGTTCCTCTTTTTTCAAACGACGTACCATAAAACGTTTAATAGAAGGGCTCCCACACTGTCAAGTTTGAGCTCATTTATCTCATTTCCTAAAAATATATATCAAAAAGTGGTCAACTAGCAAAATATTGGTGATACAATGATAAAACATTTTTCATTTGACCACTTTTTCAGATCTTTGTCAGGAACCGAGATGAATCGGCTCAAAGTTAAAAGTTAGGTCACCCTTCTTTTACTGTCACTGATTTTTGCTCAATTGAAATTGCAAATGTTTCTGGATCTTTGTCGATTTATAGAAAAAATCACATTTTCTGAAATACTTCTTCACCCCTTTAGAATAAGTTATTGTCCTACAAATGCGGGTACTGTACCTCTGTATAAGATTGTCTGAATCTTCGCTTATTCAAACTTTTCTTTAGGTCAACGTGACCAACTCTCCTTCAACGACATCCGACTGATGAACAAGATCTATTGCTCGGCAGTTTGTCCAACAAAACTTCCATGCCAGCGGGGTGGATACACTGATCCACGACGTTGTGATCGTTGCAGATGTCCTGACGGATTCACTGGACAGTATTGTGAACAAGTCATGCCTGGATACGGAGCCACTTGTGGTGGAAGAGTCAGTTTGACAAGGGCAACCACCAAAATCTCGTCTCCCGGATATCCAAGAGAATTCAAAGAAGGACAAGAGTGCTCTTGGCTTCTTGTTGCTCCACCAGGTCATATTGTGGAGTTCCAATTTATTGGAGAATTTGAAATGTATTGCAAAGTTAGACATTCTTTGTGTATGGATTATGTTGAAGTTAGAAACACTACGGATTTCGCAAATACTGGAATGAGGTAAGTACAAAACCCTGGAATGTTTAAAAATGGGATTTTTACAGATATTGTTGTTATGGAACTCCACCAACGAGAATTCGATCTGCAACTACTGATATGGTGGTTTTGTTCCGAAGCTTCTACAGAGGTGGCAAAGGATTCGAAGCAAGAGCAAGAGCAGTTCCAGAGGCGGGTAGCTGGAATGCCTGGAGCCCATGGACAGCTTGCTCAGCATCATGTGGAGCCTGTGGAAGCCGCATGAGAACCCGAACTTGTCCCCCTGGAAATGCATGCTCGTATGTTCCCAAAACTAATCTAATTACCAATTAATAACAATTTACATCAAGGAACATATCATTCCTAATTAAAACTTTTTCAGTGGGGAACCAGTGGAAACTCAAGTGTGCAACACTCAAGCTTGTACGGGTATGTGCCAACAGAAGCGAGAGGAAGAGGGACAATGTGGAGGTTTCCTTTCTTTGCTACGAGGCGTCCGTTGTAGACAGTGAGTTCTTTTTTTCTCATTTTAAGAGATCATGTCTTATTCCAAAACTTTTGCAGAGAGAAAACTGTGATGGCTCCTTGCGAAAATGCATGTTGCCCGGGGTTTACACTTCAACGCGGAAGATGTGTCCGGTGATAGTTGACTCTTTTTGCTCTGTTCTCACAAATTCCTGTAACCTAAAGAACTCTTACGAATTTACGGGCCTTTTTGTAATCAAACCAAATCTGTTTAATGATATATTTGTTCTGAATAAAACATCACCTATTTTATTATTCTTGTTTTCTGTTTGTATGTCTGTATTGAACGAGTTTCAAACATGTTTTTCATACAATAAATAATTTTTAATTCTTTGTTTGGTCAGAAGACGTTGACATTGCCAAAGCTACATCATTAGATCATAAGACAGGAAAGAAACTAGTTTGAATCCCAAGTTTCAATTTCCACAGGATTGTCAGCTTTGGGACCTTTTGGAGTGAAATCAAATATTTGGAAAGTTGTTAAATAAAGAGTCCGATAATGCTTCCAAATATACTCGGTTCATTGGAAAACCATTTTCCGGTGTTTTCACAGTGATTATATTCATTTTTAGCTTAGGATTAAATTTAAAATAGAAAAAAAAATATTTTAAGATTCCCAGAAATTCCCACTACCGTCAAAATTTTCCAAACACCGGAAAACGGCTATCCACTTTCTTGCATACGGCGAGACCGTACGAATCCGGGAGACACCTAAAAACCGGAGACACGAAAGCGGGAGACGAAAGGGGAGAAAGTACGCAAGTGCTTACCGTGATCCACCGTTTCGTTGTGAAAAATTAGGTATTTTACCGGACAAAAATTTTTCGCGGAATTCCTCGAGGAATTTTTCGAGAAAGGGATGCTTCAAAATTTCTCGAGAAACGACCCTTTCGTCTCCGCCCCCTGATCTACAGAATAAGTACTGTCCGAGAATCCTGAAGACGTCCCGAGCCACTAAAACTTCCATTCATCATAACTTGATTCATTTTTATGCTAGAAAGTTCATCTTACCACCATTCGAACGCTCTCTTCAAGCTTAACACAATGGAAACCACTTTAGCACATAAAATAGACAGGTTTTAAAATAATTATTTTGACAAAAGTATATCAAAAATCAACAGAAAAATTTTGAAGTTTTCGGTATCTGGATCGGCGGGTCGGGCCGGCCCGGGAAAATTTTCCTCCAGCCCTGGCCGCAGCCAGGGTCTACCCGGGCTGGGCCGGAATTTTTAGCAAGTATGGTTTTTTCTGCTCCAAAAAATAACTTTT